AAACAGGTCAAATAAAATTTAGCAAAAACACCCATGATTGATTGTTTCTAGAAGTAGTTCTAAAAAACATATATTTTTCCCATGAAATAGCATAATTTTAGAAATTTTTTATTTTATCAATTCCATGAAAATTATTTTGTTACAAATTAAACTAATATTTAAATTACAGAATTGTCTAGCCAGAATAAAAAGAAAATTAGACCAAACTTTATCTTTCTAGACAGCTTAAACAGCTTGCATTGGATTATATATTAACAACTTTTGGGCATGCATTACACTTCTGAGCATCTTCACAGCTTGCATTAAAAATGATAAAACAAAAAACAAAAAACAAGAACAAAAACAAAACCAAACAAAGCTTCTTTCTAAGATTACTCCCACCAATCCTCTGAGGCCTTATACAGAGCCGTATCGGAGTGCACTGCACGAGACCTCGCTGACCTCCACCGCGGCGAACTTTCAGGCGAACGTCGCCACCGCCCTCTTCAGCGCCTCCGCCCGTTCGCCGTCCTTTCGACTTTCTCTTTCCTTCACAAAAGACCCATCCGTTCGGCCTTGTTGTCGGAGTCCCCAAGAGGTTCCAAGACCTTGACGACGTCATCCATAGTGGGCCTGGACTTGGGTGGTGGCTCAGGCACCGGCCGGCCACGGCAGCCGCCGTGGTCGCTGCCGCCAAGGGATACCGGCCGGCGAGGCTGGGGTCGATCAGATGGTCGAGATTCTTCAGTGGGTCCCGCAAGAGAGGCCTGGCCCACTCCACCCAGATTCTGTTCTCGGCTAGGACGACTCTTGTCGGTGGCTCGCCGTCCTGTGAGCAGTTCCGTCAGAACCACCCCGAAGCTGTACACATCGCTCTTCTTCGTCAAGTGACCTGGAATTAAAGGCAGAAAAAGAAATAGGAAAACGAGAGTAGTTTTTTCATCAACGATTACAAATTCAGTCAAAAAAAAAAAGGAAAAAAATTTTCATCAGGCCATTCAAAATTCTACAAAGCGGGTGTTTGATTTGGAAAAGCTTTTCCATGGGGATTTTTTAATAAGAAAACATTATTTGAACACTTTTCTGTTTTTCAAAACCAAAAAAAAAAAAGCGCTTTAACATGGGCTTTTTGCTTAAATAAATTATTTGGAAAAGTTTTAAAACATATTTATTTAGTTTAAGAAAACGATTAAAAACAGCCCTAACGTTCAATGGACAAAACAAGCCGGGTTCCATTTTCCTTCCCTTCCAATGGCTCCCCAACCCGGAAAGAAAAAAAAAAAAAAAACTGGTAATCAAAATTTTTAATTTATGTTTCCAAAAACTGTTTTCGAAAAAAAATATTGTACACCTTTTTTTTTTTTTCCCTTAGAACTTTTCTTATCAGATTGAAGTTTCTTGCCTGTCATAATGTACTCTGGAGCAGCGTAGCCATGGGTGCCCATGACCCTGGTGGTGACGTGGGTGTTATCTCCCTCTGGACCGTCCTTCGCCAGCCCAAAATCAGATAGCTTCGCCGTATAATCCTGAAAAAAAACTTTAGTAATAAGAGAGGGATAACATTTATAATTAACTTTGAAAACAGAGCATGGAAGGTCGGTCAGATAAATAACTGAGAAATTTCCGAATCCAATAATATATGATGTCATGAAGTCACCATTAATCGCTTTTAAGTCTGTATTTATAGAACTTGTTTTTCATTTATATGTTTTTCATTTCATTTATTTTTGGTCTTTTCTTATCGTTTTCATTTTTCTAGATAAATATAGTTTTTGAGAATTTGAAAACAATTTTTTGTTTTTTCCCCTAAAAATGGGTTATTTTTCCGAAGATTCTCCCAAAAACAGCTTTTGGAAACAATCAAAGATACACCCTTTTATGACAAGGCACAGAGCAAAGCAGAGCAAGGAAGATTAAGCATACAATTAAGAAATTTCAGAGTCCAGACAACAATATTTGATGTTTTTGAAGTTCTCTGTAAATGACTGCACTTACACACTGTTTTCTATATTCTGTGTTCATTTTCCTTATTCATTGTATTTTCAATTATTATCGAAAATCTTCTGTGTGTCTTCATCTCATTTTCAGTTTTTCCCGGAAAACAGTTTCCACAATCAAGAAACACTCTTTTATTCTATGAACAGAGCAAGGAAGCCGAAGCAGATTAGTAAGAAATTACAGAGTCAAGTAAGATGTTTGAAGTTTTGAAGTCTCTATAAATCACTGGCTTTTCTTCCCCATGGAGGAAAGCAGCCTTTTGCAGCACCAACTGCAACTTTCATTCTCCTCGTCCATGGCAGTGGAATAGCATGTTCTGCATCGATAAGAAGAAACGAACGTTAGGTAAAACATTCGTAAAACTTACAAGAGAGCTGCAATTTTCTGTTTTCTGTGTTTCCGCAAACAGCACACTGCAAATATTGAAAGATCTTACTTTTTCCAGAAATATATTTCAAGGACTAATTTCAGAAAGGGTTTCTCTGGTTTAAGAACAGAAGACGATTGATATTAAAAGGAGTACTTCTAAAAAGTTGGTTCTCGAGGCTGCCTAGCGCCATGTACTCGTAAACAAGGAGCCTCTGCTCGTCTTCACAGCAGTACCCAATCAGCTTCACCAGATTCGGGTGCCTCAATTGCCCCAGGAAGATGACTTCTGCCTATAAATCAAATATTGTTTCAGAAAACTGAAAGAGAAGCCTATTTGAATTTGTATTTTAGTTTTCACTTTTCATTTTCCATTTTCCACGTTTTCAAAACCGGAAAACACTTGGTTTGTATTTGTATCTTCTATTTTCTAATTTCTGCTCTAAATGTTTGGTTTTCTGCATTTCTGAAAACAGAAAACACTAAAAATCTTGAAAACAATATTGCTTTCGTATTATTTTCATTTTCAACCGAGTTTGATTTCTGACAATCTGAAAACAACTTCTCATTATTTTCTGAAAAGGAGTATATTCTCTGATACTTCTCCCAAAAAACTTTCTAGAAAACAACTTTACAAACAGGGTTTCCAAAAACAAAGAAATGTTCCCAAACATGAATCCTTCAAAAACTCTATTGTATTCATATATGCTTTTCATGTAAGACTGAAAATGATTTCCAGGAAATCCGGAAATAACTCTTGGTCAATATACGAAAAAGTGGCCTGTTGTCAAAAAATTCTCTAAAAAACGACCTGTCAAACGAGTAATCTCTTTTCAGTAATAGCAATCAAAAACAGAAGATGGAAAAATGGGTAACGTGTAGAAAATTCTCACCAGCCATTCCTTGTGGCCTTGAGTGCCATCCAGGTCCATCAACTTCACAGCAACCGGCCGAGCCTCCAAGCCGGGCCTCATCCCATCACGGGTGAACCCCTTGTGCACTGTCCCAAACCCTCCCTCGCCAAGATAATTGCCGGTCGAAAAATCTCGCGTAATCATCTTCAACTCCGCGAGAGAGAACACGTGGAGGTTGGACCCAATGAGAGAGGTTGAAAGGTCGTTGATGGAGAGAGGTGAGTCGGGATTGCTGAAATCCGAAATGGAAATCCTCTGGGACGAGTGTTGTTTGAGAGCATGTTGCTTCTTCTCAGAATGTGAAGTTTTAGGCCGAAAGCAACATGGGAAGATTGCTCTAAGCGTCTGCTTAATTGCCATCGCTTGCTTTCAAATGTCTTCTGATACAACTCTTCTGGTCTTGGGATTTTTATGAGGAGTCCAAAGTTGAAAGGATGAGGGCAAGAGAGGGTGTGTGGGACAACTTCGTCGAGGAGGCTTTTGGGTCTGGCTTGGAAGACCTAAAAAGGAGGTCTTCTAGGTCCTAATGATGGCCGGCCATCTCTTTTCCTTGTAGGACAGTATTATTTTGTCTTAGAGAATGGAGTTCTCCCAGTCTATCACCTAAGAAATTGATAGTACAATGGAATTTGGAGCCATGTTCTTAGGGACGGTGAAATGGACAAAGTTTGGGATTCAGATTTTTAAGATAATTTTTAATTTAAAAGTTCAGTATAATAGTTTATGAAAAAAACAAGTTTGTACTACTAGAATAGCTTAATCTATTTAAAAATATGATGTAAAAATTTAAAAAATAATATTTTATAATTCAAAAAATGACCGCAGTGACAAGACCACCAGTCATGATACAACTGAATTAATTGCTAATTAAATATTTGATAATAAAAAAATTTAAAAATAAATAAAAATTATAAATATATTATTTAAGCATAAAATTATAATATACTCTATTTTGTTATTAGTACGACATAATTTAAATTATACAAATGTAAAATGTGAGTTTTAAAAAAAATTAATAAACATATTATTTTAAACCATATTAATAGACAGGTTTAAAATTGGCTAATTTTATCGATTTTTAACTGATTTTGACATATTAAATTTTAATGTCAATTAGAAGATCTTATCTGAACTGTTTGTGGGGCCATATCATGGTCGAACTAGTCTAACCAATCAATTTGGTCTAGATTTTAAAGTATTTTCTAAAAAAAATATGATATGATGGACGGATTAGGAGGATACACACAGAATTTTAAAAATAGACTAATGAGGAATACTATAATAGGTCTAAATTGTATAGAAATATGATGTTACTAATGTTACTGCACATTTTGGATGTATGTATAATTTGGGATGTAGAGTGGGACAAAAGATGAGATCCAAGCTTGTAAATCTAGAAGAATGATAAAGTCGCATCCTCGACTCAACTGAGTAGAGTGCTCACCGGGTTGGGGCTCAAATTCTACCCCCCAAATCTCCCTCTTTCCCTTCTAATTGCCGACCAAAAGAAAAATTAAAGATATAATTTGATGGTGTAATATATCTAAATTGCTTTGAGATACGATTTTTATTGTCCAAAATATCATATTAAAGTCAAATTTAATGTAATATTAGTATGGAATGTGAACTCAGAAAAATATATTATTTAATAGAAAAAAGATCAATTGATATTTAATGTAAATATAAGGCACTTATACCACATTGCACAACGTTGATTTGGTGAAAATTAATGGATAACTTTAATTAGTATTAATTTCTAACAATTTTCAATAGATGAAATTAATATCATTTGTTCATTTTGACTAAATTAACGGTGTGAGATGTGGTGTAAGTGTCTTACATTTATACTAAGTATCAATTGATCATTCCTTTATTTAATATATAGACACACACACACATATATGTATGTATTGAAACTGATAAAATTTATCTTTTGTTTGTTAGCTCGTCAAAACTATTATTTATTAGTTTTAATGATTGTCATATGTAAATGATATGATATATACTTTTTATCATATCAAATTTATATATGTTTTATATATTTATATTTATATTATTGTGTATGTATGTCTTATATTTTGTACAGAGTACATATTCAAAACTAGTTTTTTAAAAAAATTTAAATTTAGAATTTCAATAAGTATGCTTTGACATATCCACCATCAAAATTCAAAAATAGAAAAAAAAGAAAAGAAAATTTAAGACGGAGAATCTTCCTGGCTCTTTATTTTTTTCTCTACATGCGTATATCATTTGAGCATTATTCCTTTGATCCTCCCTATTGGCTAGGACTAAAAGCTGATAGGCCTTGCTTTGACTTTGAAAATGCCAAATGGCAAATAATGTTTCTGGTGGGGACTATTATTGTAATTTGTGTGATATTATTAGAATTAAGATGTGACCATCTTGTTCTTTATTGTAATAATTGGTGGTAGTGTGGATTGACTTTGAAAAACAGGTGTATTAGTGTTTGATTAATTTTGAAAAACAGGTTATTTCATGCACAAAATTCACAGGTATGTCCCTCAATCCACTTTTCACTTTTTCATGAACGCATAATTTTCCTCTCATGTCATCTTTTATGGTGGGTGAAATTTCTTTGTTCTTTTCTTTTAAGCCATGAAAGTCTGATTGAATCTTCTTTCTCCTCTTCTGTATCTTCCTAAAAAAGCTTTCCCCAAAAGATGAGTGCATATGGATCGATGAGTGCATGTGGATCGATTTCAAAGTTGAAATGGATTGGATTGGATAACATTTAAATCAAAACTGACGTCCTTTTCTTTTTCCCCTTTTTCCTTTCTCCCTGATAAATTTGAAACTTCTTTTACAGCCCTGCCAAACTTTAAAGTCAAAAACTGGAGGGACCTATTACATTAAAATCAAAAACTGCAGGGACTTAATATTAAAACAGAGCTAGCTTGATTTTACCCTTCCATAATTTTCACAAGCTATCTGTACAATCCCATTTAGAACTCAGTTTTTTAATTTCCTCCAATTAATCTTAAGATTTCTGGGCAGGAAAAGCAGCTCTGCTCTGGCCCTTCTTCCTTATCTTTCCCAGTCAATCAAGCCAATTTGGAAGTCAAGCACAACGAGCACATTCTCCTTCCTGGAGAATTCCTTTCTTTTCTGTTTTGTATTTTCTTCCTTTGATGGGCCCCTGAATCCTAGTCATATAGTCATTTTTCTGTCTGTTTCTCTGTGTTTTCTTCTTCATCTCAAGGTTCTTCCGAGGAATGATTTCTTAATTCTTTATTTTCGGGTGTCTTTTTTCAATTAAGTGTTTTTTTTTTCCAATTAAAGTGGGTTATTGCAGATGTTCCAGCTTTTGGCTTTTTGCTTGTCGTAAATCAAAAATAAAATTATGCATTAAAAGTTACGGTCGTTTAAATTTTTTATATACAAATAAATTTTAATTCAAAATAAACCAAGTAAAAACCGAACAGTAAACTGGTTTGCAATATTTTATTTTAAAAAAAAGAAAAATAGTAAATTTTACCCTTTGTCCGTTGAAAAATTTTAACCTGATTTCTCAACATATATAATTTTTAACTTATTTTGATAAATACTTTTGCAAACAGACATTTCCATAAAAATTATTAATATTAATATAAATTTACCTCTTCCATCTGCGTTCTGCTCAGTTCTGAATTTACCCCTCTAATGTCTTCTCCGTCCTCTCTCTCTCTCTCTCTCTCTCTCTACACACACACTCCCATGCTGCCTATATCTGCCAATTGGAGCTTCAAAAGCAGCCGGCTTTTCAACAATAATTTTAGGCATTCATAACTTTCTTTGTGCAATATCAACACCAATTTCTTGGAAGCCGCGTCCACCATTGAAATTGACTTTTCTAAAAAAGAAAATCGAATATTTCCTTGGGTATTTTTTTCAAAAATAAAATTTTAAAAAAATTGTTATTTGTAAAAAAATAAAATAAAAATAAAACAAATACAAAAGACGGAGGGCCGGTGAGAATGATGTGGGAAAATGACCGATTAAAACCGCTCCTGTGCGTTCAAATCTGGCATTTATAGCACTTACATTAGACAGGACCTAAAACAAATAAGATAGAATAAGATTACACCCGTTGCTTTCATTCCTTTGACAAAATTTACGATCTAAACAAAGTGAATTTACGAATCGGCCCCTCACCAACCCCCCCCCCCCCCCTTCCAACCGACAAAATTAAAAAAAGAAAAATCAAATTTGGTTTCTGCACCTGTGAGATACATGCATGATGCATGATTGAGATAAAGAGTTTTTCCCATTTTAAAAATTCTAATAATTTTATTCTAACATGTTTAGATTGTGCAGTTTAAATATTTTTATATAATTTAATCATTTAAAAATGTATAAATAAACCCAGATTGTATTCATTTCAATATTATTTTAATCTCAAAATAAATATTTTTTCTCGTCCTTCCATTCTGAATGAACCCATATTAGAAAAGCCAGAACATTAGAGACAGAGACAGAGAGACAGAGAGAGAGACTGTGTATTATGTATGATAGAGGTGATAACCTAATAATTGGCAGGACTATTCTCTCTATGATTATATGAAAGGTCTAAATGGAGGGCCGAAATTATTTTTAATTTGATGAGGGATTAACTACTAATTTTTTGTCAAAATATTCGAATTATTAAAGTAAAAAAGAATTGGCAAACAAATCCCTCGTAGAAATAAAAGGAGTCTTATGCAAAAAATAAATAAATAAATGAAATCAAAATGAAGAAGAATCTAAAAGAGTCTATGGTGATGAGTTTGGTGGGCATTACATAAAAAGCAAGCTATATTTTTTTCAAAGAAGAACATTTTGTGTTCTATATTTGATTAATTAAGTTAATAAAATAAAAGTAGACCATTAAAGTATTGCCTAAAACACTTTGAATGGATATGTTTCTTAGGAAAAGTTTTGAATTTCAATGTATGAATGAACTTTTAAATAGACGAGTGTTCGGGAATTTGGGATGGGATGTCTTCGTTGCCACATTTCTTATGCGTCCTCAGGTTTTGGAAAATTTATTTTTTGGTCTAAATCTTTTTCATTATTATATCAACATTTATTTTTTTTAATAAAAAATACCTGTACTCATAGGCTAAGAGGCAAAAGAAGAAATTTGTCCAAGGTGGAGCTTATGTCTAATTAATTAATTAGTATGGCAATAATTTACTAAAACAATGATCAGTAAAGAGTTCGAGAGGAAGATGAGCCATACTAAGACTAGGACTGAACATAACCCATTATCAATTAGTACATTGATGGTTCAAATTTGATCCATTTCAAAACTCAATTGGGTAGATCCTAAATTCATTTGTGAATTGAACTCAAGACCTTTTATGAGATTTATATAACATCATGAG